ACATCTGAGAAAACACTGAGAATCAATAAAAATTCGAATTTCGCGCGCTTTTACCGGAAGTTGGCCTAGAAAACTCACACCTGGCCGCTAGGCCACCGGTTCCCACTTTGACTTTTCGATGCCGTTTTTCTCAATGAAGGAATTTTTTTTTGAATTTTTTCTTTATTTTTATGTGAATCTACATAGATTTCTGCACAAAATAAAGCAATAAAATTTTTCACCGCACACCACCTTTAATGCATTTAAATGTGTAGAAAAATACTAAAAATTCAAAAAAATTGAAAATTTTCAGTTTTCCAGAAATTTTGATTTTACGAGATTTTTTCATTTTTTTTTTTCATTTTTTAATCCATATTTTCTACAAATTTTGATGCAAACAATTTTTTGTTTTTGAATTTTTACATTTTTGAATTCTGCAAAATTCCAAAAATCAATATTTTTGCAGTTCATCAAAGTATCGATCCCTCGAGTGACCCACAAATCCACCTATGTTCAAGGCCCGAAGCGAGAAATCTTTTGTATTCTCCTAATTGATGCATTTTTTCAAATTTTGAAATCGCTTCTTTTCGGAAAAGAAAGATTATTTCAAAGGCTTAAAGGCGCAGACCAGCTGGACAGAATTTGTGAAGAACTCGCGAAAACTTTTCATCCCGACCAGGTTTGTTTTTTGCAATTTTTTGAAGCTGGCCTAACTTTTGCAGGCTGGGTTTTCTAGGCCACCATGTAAAGTTGCCTAGAAAACACACCAGGCGAACATCTGTTCATTTCTCGGCTATTCAACATAGTGGCCTAGAAAAATCAACTTGCAAAAGTTAGGCCATCATGTGAAGTAGCCTATAAAAACTTACCAGATGAATATCTGGTCATTTCTAGGTCAAAAAAGTCGGTGGCCTAGAAAATTCAAATTGCAAAAAGTTAGGTCATCACGGTAAAAGTCTTAGAAATGACCTGACATTCAGCTAGTATGTTTTCTAGGTTGTTTTCCATGATGTCCTAGAAAACTCAACTTGAAAAAGTTAGGCCATCATGCTAAAATGGCCTAGATAATACACCAGGTGAATGATAGACTATTTCTAGGTCATAAGTGTTGGTGGCCTAGAAAACTCAATTTGCAAAAGTTAGGCCATTATCAACAATGGGCTAGAAAACACATCAGGTCCATGGGAAAACAGGCATAATTCAAATATAGCCCCCCACCTCAAAATGACCCCCCAACTTATCTACTTCTTACTAAGGAAACGTTTCTGAGTGTGTGTCTGTGTGTCCGTCTCGGACATTTACTTGAATAACTCCAAAGGGCATGGGACTCCTATAATAGTGTGTGGTATGTAGCCATGGACTACCGAGCGCTTCATGTCTATGGTGTACTGGGCCTTCTAGCTAACAGGAAACCTATAGGATTGAGAATCGAAATTTTCAAAATTATGCTCAAACTCAATAATATTTATAAAATTTTGCAAAACGGTTTTTTGGCCTATCTATGTGTTGCCTACACGAAATTGAGCAAAAATTTTCAGAACTTAAAAATTTTGAAAATTTCGTTTTTTTCGTATATCACTTGAATTTCGATCCTGTGGATTACTGAAAATGGGTCATAGTAATTTTCTTTTGAATACAAGGTTCTTAAGTTATGAGGAAAATTCTAGAACATTCCAGAAAATTCCAGAAAATTAAAGAAAGTTCCAGAACATTCTAGAAAATTCCCGAAAGTTCCAGAAAACTCCAGAAAATTCCAGAACATTCTAAAAAATTCCAAGACATTCTAGAAAGTTTCTGAACATTCCAGAAAGTTCTAGAACATTCTAGAACATTCTAGAAAAATCCAGAAACTTTCCAGAAAGTTCCAGTAAATTCTAGAACATGCTAGAAAATTCCAGAACATTCTGAAAAATTCCGAAAAGTTCTAGAAATTCCAGAAAACTCCAAAACATTCTCGAAACTTCCAGAAGATTTTAGAAAATTCCAGAAAGGGCTAGAAAATTCTGAAAAGTTCTTAAACATTTTAGAAAATTTCAGAACATTCTAGAAAATTTCAAAAAGTTCTAGAAAATTCCAGAAAGGGCTAGAAAGTTTCCGAAAATTCAAGAAATTCCAGAAAGCTCCAAAACATTTTAGAAACTTCCAGAAGGTTATAGAAAACTTCAGCAAGGGCTAGAAAATTCTGGAAAGTTCTAGAACATTCTGGAAAGTTCCAAAAAGAGCTAGAAAAATCCAGAAGTTTCGAGAACATTCTAGAAAGCTCCGGAACATTCCAAAAAACTGCAAAAGACCCAAAACATCATTAAAGCTCTAGAAAATTGTAGAATAGTCCTGGAAATTCGAAAAAGTTCAAGAATATTCCAAAAAATTCCAGGAGGGTCTCGAACGTTCTCAAATTTTAGCTTTCTCTACAAAAATATTGCAAAATTTTCTCTATACTTTCATTGTGATCTAGAACCAAAGGCTTAGAAATATTGATGTATGTGGTAATTCAAAATTTCAGGAATTCGGAAAAGCCGAGTATTCAAAAAACTCGGAAATGCAGAAATTCGACAATTAAGGATTTTAGGTTAGAAATTCGAGACTTTAGAAAATCAAACAATTGTATTCCCTTTTCAAGAAACATGTATTCTGTCGTGTAGAAACTCGGAAATTCAGAAAATCGGATATCTTTTTTCTCAAAAAAGCGACAAGACTTAAAGGTGGGGGGACAGGATATTTTACGGAGGATTTTTGGAGCCACGGTATGCATTCTACCGTGACGGTGTACAACGCTTAATTTCACTCTGCGTACAGCTGTCGTCCTCGCCTTTATGTATGCAATCGGGCGACCGCTTTTTTTTGCCCGTGTAGCTCAGTCGGTAGCGGCGCCGCACCCTTAATCCTCACCCCCACAAGTTCAACTCCTCGAGGGGCATATTTGAAAGTAATTTCGAGAACACAATTTTTCATGTCTCCCCACCTTTAAAAGAAATTATCAGAACATTGAAAAAAGTACGCCTGTTTTATCAGAAGTAGGCATCAAATAGATGTGGGCTTCTATTGGAGAAATCACGGTATCTAAAAATTCCCATATTAGTAACATCCAAAATTTAAAAATCAAAGTACTTGGAAGTTTCGGGCACTCGGAAAGTGAAAAATCTAGACATTAGAAATTCAAGTGTAAGATACAGTGAACTGAAGCCAGGAGGTTGAGCCCCGACAGGGGGCTCAAATCGACTGGTAAACAACTATAGTAGAGCCCCCCGCCAGTGCAAAAATTGGTGGGGGGCTGATGTTGAATTGGTTGATTAAAGTATGACCCCCCCCCACCAGTACAAAGTGGGGGCCTATACTTGAAGAACCTGGTATTCTTAAAATATGACCCCCACCCCTCCCTGCCTTCTTCAATTAAAGGCCCCCAACCATTCAAAAATAGCCCCCCAAAAAGAGAACCTTATCTGAGCCCCCCACTTTATTCAAATATGACCCCCCCCCCCACCTATTCAAAAATAGCCCCCACCCATTCAATTTTAGACCCCCACCAATTCAAAAATAGGTCCCCACCATTTTTTGGCCTAAGCCTGAATTTTAGAATGTTTTAAATTTGGAAGTTCTGATAAGATATACATAACTGAAAAGTATTTTTCAGAAAAAGTTTCCAAGAAACAAGGAAAAATGGTGAAAAATGACACAAGTTCCGAAAAAATCAAAGAAAATTTTTTTAAAAAAGCTCAAAATTTGCATCATGACGGTTACGGTACCCTTCACACACCACAAACTACGCAAAAGTGGGAGTCTATAATTGAATGGGTGGGGGGGGGCTTATTTTGAATTGGAATGGATCATTTAAAAGTGGGGGGGGGGCTTTTTTACAACTGCTTCAAGTGTCTAGATTGTTGGAGGTGGGGGGGCTCTACTATGGTTCATTTTGGGGGGCTATACTTGAATTGGGGTGGGGGGCTATATTTGAATTCAGCCGGAAAACATTTCTGGGTCATTTACCACGGTGGCCTAACTTTTGCAAATAGTGTTTTCTAGGCCACCAACACTTATGACCTAGAAATAGTCTATCATTCACCTGGTGTATCATCTAGGTCATTTTAGCATGAACTTTAGCAAGTTGAATTCTCTAGGCCATCATGCTAAAATGGCCTAGAAACATATGCTAATATGAGGTCACTTCTAAGTCACAAGAGTTGGTGGCCTAGAAAATCCATCTTGCAAAAGTTTGGCCAGGCATTTTTCAGCTCTATAAAAATTGGAAATTTTCTTTCAGAAACCCTTCTGTTTTATCAATGTGGAATATGTGAAGAAAATCGAGTCGGATATCAAAAATCTGGAATTGAACAAGGACTTATCAAAAGATAAACATCTACATGATATCCGATTTTTCGGTCGCCGAGACTTCGATTTTTGCTATTTAAAAGACGAATTGGACCTGATGGATTTGGCTAAAATCTTTCCGAAAATTCAACTTTTCGCTCCAGCTGTTCAAATTCTTGTGGCTTCTGGACGAAGTGATTTGATTATTGATTCGAGCAAAAATGCAATTGATATGTCTCTCGTCGGAAATTTGACCAAATGTCTCCCTCAACAGAAATTCGTGGCAAAAGAACTATCGAATGTTTATGAGATTGTGGAGAAGACTGTTTTGTTATGTTTCGTTTTTCAATTTGAGACTGTAAGGGACTTTTCGATTACTATACACGAGCGAAATTCGAACTGCAAGTTTTTGTTCGGTGGAGCGCGGTTGCGAAGAGCCAAGGACTTTTTTTTCGAAAATTTGAATCGAAAAATTGGTTTTTACACTTTTTCATCGTTTTTCAAACAAATCTTTTTTATGGGAATTAGGAAAAATTTTAATTTTTTTTATTTTAATTTTCAAAAAATGTTTGAAAAAAAATTACCGGGAAAACGGGCGGAGCCTAAAGTGCAAGCTCGCGGGAAAAGAGGCGGATTCGGTGGGCGGAGTCTAAATTTCAAAATTCCGGGAAAATGGGCGGAGTCAGGGGGCGGAGCTCAAATTAATAAAGAGCTCCGCGCACTGGTTTGCATATTTGCAGTCATGAGAAAAATTTTGCAAAGTAGGCTTTGAGATTTCAATATTTGTTTAAATATTTCCCTGGAAAAGTGGGCGGAGCCTAAATTTCAAGCTGCAAGAAAAAAAAAGTCAGCGGCAAAATTTGCGGAGTCAGGGGCGGAGCCTACATTTGTAATTTGTAATTTGTTTATTGATCAGGTGTAATAAAACATTAGAGGGCAGGACATGAAAGACTCAGAAAAATGCCCCTCACGAGGCCGATCTGAGTAGGGGAGGGGAAACGGGATAATTTAGATATTTGACATAGGAAAGATGTAACCGGTAGAAAAAGAAAAATAGGGGAGCAAATATATCAATAACGGGTAATACTGGAAGAAATTAAGGATTCAAACTCGGAAGGTAGGAGAAATCGGGTAACTTGGGAAGTGATGGCGTTCCACAGGGGAACAATTGAAGAAAAATAGTCAGAGGAATAGGGCTGAACAATAATTAAGTTCATAGGGCGACGAGGGGAGGAGGAGTATTTGACATGGGCATTTAGGTTAGGAAAGTAGGCGGAGCCATTTAAAAATTTATAGAGAAGAATTAGTTGAGCTTTTAGCCTACGATGTCGAATGGAGAACATATTGAGGATAGAGAGACGATCAGAATAGGAACTGTACTGGATATTACAACGCAGGAAAATACACTTATTGTCTATTCAAAATAATCG